AACTCATTATCTTGAATTTGTTAGGACCAAGAAACAAGAGGCCCATCAGCCATATTGGCACAATGCTCAGTGATTCTTAAATATAGATTTTTAAATATTTTTCCTAAATATTTCAATGTAAAATTTTAATTCCCTTTTGTGTCCTTACCCTTTCAACCGGGGAAGGAGGATATACCTAGGAAAGCTTCCACAAAAGTTTCATTATTTTTGGACCAGTGGTTCTTGAAAATAAGATTTTTGATGACCTCACCACTTTTAGTCTTTTCTTAATTATATCCCCTTTGACATTGCCCTTCATTTAAAGGATTTAAACTCCTCTTCCCTCAAGGATGCTTTGTATTAACTTTGGTTAAAATTGGCCCAATAGTTCTTTTGAAGAAATTGAAAATATTAAAAGTTTACAGATGTGTGATCAGTAAAGTTAGAAAAAAAAAAATTAGAAAATATCAATTAATTTATATCGAGGGTAAAAAAAAATTTGGAGTTCCAAATCACTCGATTCACTACAACATATCTAATGGTTTTCGATTTCTATGTTCAAGATACTAAAGTTCAACTGTATTCATACAGAACTGCTGTCTTTAGTGATACATACCTTGGATCAAAAGCTTTGCCACACATGGGACATTGTGAAACAGTACTTGCACTGGGTACTGGTTCCTGTTGTGCTTCCTGTATGAGTGATCTTCCTTGATCATCCTGCAGGTCTGAAGTTTCTGGTATACTATTTTTCCTTTCATTTTTTGTATTAGCTGTCAAGCACTAAAATAAAGAATTGTAAAACTAATTTACCTATTAATATAAGACTGCAGTGAAAATACAGTTGTAGCTAACATGCTTAATATAATGAATTGGCACTAAAGTGACGTGATTTTCATTCCCCAGTGACTTTCTTATATATTGTAATTTTTAAACTTGACTGATATAATGAATTACACTTATAACAAAGCAAAATCATTCATCCCTGGCACTTTGTTACAAGCATGTTTTACTGTGCATTAGTAATTCCATTTCACAATTTATTTCATCAAGAAAACATAGGTAATCAGAGATTACAGAGCTCACCTCAACGAATGTTGTCTTTAAGTAAGGCAAAGTCACACAATTAACCAACAAGAAGTGTACATTCCAAAATTGAAAATATTTAAGCAATTTTAATCTGATTTTGAAATAGAACTACATAAAAAATTTAAACTAGTTCTTCTTCATGAAAATGTAATTAAAATCCAGCATCTGAAGCAAATTTGAGAGTTTTCATCTCTTGATGCAACATTTGTGCAAGTTTGGTTTATACAATGTTATATAAGCCTTATAGTTTTTTGGTAATAGACCTGCACCCATAACTTTTACCTGGTCTATTATCTGAAAATGTATGTCGAATTCAGCATCTGAAGCAAGTCCATTAGTGTGCATCCTAAGATGTATCATCCATGCAAGTTTGCTCATTATAGGGCTCACAGTTAATTGGAAATGAAACATGCATCAAAAACTAACATTTTCACTCATCAACAAAAAGTAGGTCAGATTCAGCATCCGAAGCAAGCCCAATAGTATGCATCCTTATATGTATCATCCACGCAAGTTTGGTCATTAAAGAACTCATAGTTACTTGGAAATGAATCATGCACCAAAAACTTTAACCTATTCACTCAACTGGAAAATGTAGGTCAGATACAGCATCCGAAGCAAGCCTGGTAGTATACATCCTTATATGTATCATCCATGCAAGTTTGGTCAACATAGGGCTTATAGTTACTTGGAAATGAAACCTGCACCAAAAACTTTAACCTGTTCACTCAACTGGAAAATGTAGGTCAGATTCAGCATCCGAAGCAAGCCCAGTAGTATGCATCCTTAGATATATCATCCATGCAAGTTTGGTCAACATAGGGCTTATAGTTACTTGGAAATGAAACCTGCACCCAAAACTTTAACCTGTTCACTCAACCGTAAAATGTAGGTCAGATTCAGCATCCGAAGCAAGCCCAGTAGTATGCATCCGTAGATGTATCATCCATGCAAGTTTGGTCAACATAGGGCTTATAGTTACTTGGAAATGAAACCTGCACCAAAAACTTTAACCTGTTCACTCAACCGTAAAATGTAGGTCAGATTCAGCATCCGAAGCAAGCCTGGTAGTATGCATCCGTAGATGTATCATCCATCCAAGTTTGGCCAACATAGGGCTTATAGTTACTTGGAAATGAAACCTGCACCAAAAACTTTAACCTGTTCACTCAACCGTAAAATGTAGGTCAGATTCAGCATCCGAAGCAAGCCTGGTAGTATGCATCCGTAGATGTATCATCCATGCAAGTTTGGTCATTGTAGGGCTCTATAGTTACTATGGAAATGAAACCTGCACCCAAAACTTTAACCTGTTCACTCAACCGTAAAATGTAGGTCAGATTCAGCATCTGAAGCAAGCCTGGTAGTATGCATCCGTAGATGTATCATCCATGCAAGTTTGGCCAACATAGGTCTTATAGTTACTTGGAAATGAAACCTGCACCAAAAACTTTAACCTGTTCACTCAACCGTAAAATGTAGGTCAGATTCAGTATCCGAAGCAAGCATGGTAGTATGCATCCGTAGATGTATCATCCATGCAAGTTTGGTCAACATAGGGCTTATAGTTACTTGGAAATGAAACCTGCACCCAAAACTTTAACCTGTTCACTCAACCGTAAAATGTAGGTCAGATTAAGCATCCGAAGCAAGCCTGGTAGTATGCATCCTTAGATGTATCATACATGCAAGTTTGGTCAACATAGGGCTTATAGTTACTTGGAAATGAAACCTACACCAAAAACTGCACCAAAAATGTTAACCTGCTCCAAAAACATTAACCTGGTCATTCCTTTGCTGAAATTGCAGCATCTGAAACTTTGACTGGTACAATGAAACACACTAGAACCATCTTCCATGCATGTCTAATCAATATAGGACATAGAAGTACTTAAAAAGAAAACTGCTCCAAAAAACTTTACCTTAACCTGGGACGCCGACGCCGACACCGACACCGACGCCGACGCCGAGGGTATTACATAAGCTCCCCCAACTTCGTTGAGGTGAGCTAAAAAGCAAATTAATTGAAAATAATTATCATAAATCCAAATTATACAGGAACTACAATGAAAATGCCATCTGAATAAGATTTTGACTGCTTTTTAATCCTATGATGTCTTTAATCTTTGACAGAAGACATCCATCAATAAAAAAATAACATTCTAAGGCAATCAGTATCTTATTTAATTATACTGCATGTCACTCACTTTTTCCAGGATACCATGAGACTGTGGCTTCCGTTTTCTACACAGACGACACATGGGTGGGAATGGTGTCAGTTCTCCTATGGGCTTTTTCTTAGTGACATTGTCTTCCAGCTACAAAAGTTTTATTGTTTATTTTTATCTTCCATAAGCATGATAAGAGATAATCTAGCCATATTCTCTTTAAAAAAACACTTGCCACAGAAAGCATATTCATTTAGAGAGATATACAAATAAAATATAAACAAACCTTCTTATTTGGTATGAATGGAGGGAAAGGTGAGAGCTTGGTTGTAATTGGCAGTGGTTGCAAATTTTTTTCTGGCAGTGATTGAACATTTTCTTTGGATCTTCAAAACAAATCAGCTAAAATGGTTAGTGCCTATTAATCAAGCAAAGGCCTATGAATTAAAGAGCTACAGATATGATTGATGACCAAACTCAAGATTTATTTTGAACTTATAGGCTTAGGTATACCTGTCATTCGCTTTGTTTTTTATATCGTCAACTCTATTGTTGCAAGATAAATTGCTTGATTTTAGAGCAGTCTCAACAGACGGCTTTTCCTCATTTGTAGGGCCAAGTTTTCGCTTTAGACTTAGTCGCTTCATTCTACTTTCACTTTCACAGAAAGTAAAATTTGGAACAGTCCCAACGAAAATAAGTCTTTAAAGACATGTTTTGTGATTCGGATTATCTGTTTTGTAAAGAAAATCTTTAAACTAGTATTCCAAAACACATCAAAGATATTTGAATAGAAACATTCTTTTCACTCACTAACTCAGTAACTTAGAAGGACCAAGTGTGCGCACGAATGTAGCCGGAAGTTGACGTCTGGAGGTCGTTCAAGATTGGTGCGCAGAAGAAGCTACGCCAGAATGGATCTCTTAGCTAATTATGATGACGATGGCGAGAAATCACAAAGCTCCAGCAGTAATAAACAAGATCGGGTATAGTTTTTGAAAATATATGCTAAATTATGTTTCTTGATTTCTTAGTACTGTTTATAAATGAAGGAAACAAAATGTCCTATTTTTTTTCAAAATGGCGGCTTTCCACCATTTACTTTGAAAACGGAAGTAAATTTTGTATCATGAAAAATCTCCGGTGTTTTTAATTACTTTACTATTTCAACTGTAGTTTTAATCTTTTTTTAATTGCTAAAAAGCTTTGAGAATTTTTTTCAATATTGTTAAAAAGTTTACAAAGTACACATGCATGAAAATGATTCTATGAGGCCTATTTTTTTTTTTAATGATAGGTTGATGCATCGTCCAGCCTGCAGGCTGAATGGGAATCTTTTGAGAAAATGATCTCAGGTCTAAACGAAGACACGGAAAAGCCAACATCTGTAAATGACTTCCTTCAGGCCGGAATAGTGGCATATCCAGGCTCATTCAAAAACAACACAGAAAATGAAAAGGAGGGGAATGGATCATCAAGTTCTGGGGAAGAAGGTGAAAGTTCAATTAAGCATTAAAATGAATTATGTAAATATATGTACTATTTTAAAACCACTTTCATTAGAGTTAGTTAACAATTTCAAACAATATTTACATTATATATCTTGTTTGATAGCTTATATCAATTCATACTGATACTTGGAAGACACATTTTCATAAAAGAAAAACAGGTTAGTTACCATGAGTAAAACTACAGTAATGGTTAATTATCATTAATTCTTTCATTTTGGTATTATAATAAAACTTTTAGTGCAAGTCAAAAATGTGTATTTGATGTCTAGTATTCATTATTACAGTAAATTATATATTTTTTAAAAAAGTTTCTTAATTATTCATTATTCTTTACAGCAGAAGGCCCTAAAAAGTCCAGATCATTTGCTGAAGATGTAATGAAGCTATTCAGATCTGAATTTGTTGAAGAGGTAAAGAAAAGGAGAAAATATTTATAAGAAAAAAAGCAAATGACAGAGCAAAATTAAAATTAAATTCACAATTTTTTTTCAATATTTTAAACCCCATAGATTATACCAGTTACTTCTTTTTCAACCCAAAGAAACATGCCTTTGTTATTACATGATACTAATATGAACAGTAAAGCAATTTGCATTTTGTCCAAATTGTCTTTTGGATTCTTAAAAGAGGTATCCTTGTCCTTAGTGGTGGAAAATCTTCCCAGTTCACTGAATTTATAATTTCTCCACATTTGATAGGGTTTTCCAGTCCTTTAGAATGATTCCCATCATGAAAATGTGTATAAGGTGTTTTGGGTCCCCTCGTAACATTAAATATGAAAAAAAAGGTTTAAGGTTATTTTCTTCAATAATCTGACCTGCTATCTACATATCAATTAGGTTTACCTTACCATGTGATTGCTGCAAAGAAACACTGATTCAACATATAATGACGACAACAATCTCTCAAATTGTTGTTGTTTCCGTGATGGCGTGTGGGTAAGTAGATGGAAGAGGAGGTAACCAAAATTACAGTCTCGTGATGAGAAAAGTCAGATTCCTGTGCTGGAAAAGTTATCACAAACATTTCCTGTTTCTCATATCGTGTGACCCATATAACACATTTTATTCATATATTGACCTCAGACACGAGACATCACTTTTTGAACACACACATGTATCAAAGACATTTCTTTTTTGTCATATTAGATGACTGATATGATAAATATGGTTTTATTTATATGTTGACCTCTGACACAAGACTTCAAACTCTGAGAAACAAATTTTTATTTGTTTAAGAATCAAAATAAAACCAGTTTTGTATTCTTGTATTTTCGTTGACATAATCCCTTTATATCATTCTCAAAAGTCTAAGAAGTGCTCCATAACTTGACATTTTCTAGTTTTCTTGACCTGCCTTTCTTTTAATTTTTTTTTATTTACACAGTATAATGACAATGTATTTTTTAAAAACGGTTTTAGATGCAATTAGTGTTGCTGTATTTCTTTATTGATCAGTTTTTAGATATTTTAGATACTTTTCTCTGCTGTATTATCAGATGTTTTCAGCTGATAAAGAGTAATATACCAGGAATTAGTAGAAGGTTTTGTCTTTGGCAGGAACTAGACATGCCTCCCAGAGCCAGGTCATCCTCACACTCCTCTGGATCCTCCCACAGCAGTAGATCTGCCTCAGCCTCTCCATCCCCCGACAGACAGGAGGAAAAAGAGGAAGACGAGCAGGAGGAGGAACCAGAAAAAGACACCAGTAAAGAGGTTAAAGAAGACAGGAGGCCGTCCACAGAGGGTCAATCCAGTAGGAAGCGGTCTAGATCCAGGTCAAGGTCACGTACCAGACGGACGTCACATTCAAGAAAAAAGTCCCGATCCAGTCGCTCTAGATCAAGATCAAAGAGGAGGGTATGTGAAAATCTGCTCATAATAATTTGTCATGGATAACTTTTAAAGCTTTAATCTGCATGGTTTTATTTACCATTTGAACCTTAAAACAAGTAGTAATATCATGAATCTAAGAGTAACTGTAACTTTTGTATGTAGTATTTGTTTGTCTTTTGGGAAATTACACTTTACTGATAGAAGAAATTATAAATAATTCTGTGTATTCAAGTGATTTTCAGCACAATCCTTATCAATAAAATCGTAAAACAAGTGCCATTGCCAGAGTCTAAAATGCAAACAGTTTGTGTATGCAGTATTTGTTAGTATCTGTTTTGTTTTGATTGCAAATTTCTTTAATTTTAAAGTACCCAGAATGTTTTAGGTATTATGTGTCTGGTTAAAATGTATTAGAGTGAGCTGATGAAAAATGTATTACAGAGTCGAGACAGAAAAGGCAGCTCATCTCGCAGGAGACACAGACGCAGCAGATCTCGAGACAGAAAACACAGGAGACGATCCTCTAGAGACAGACATAGACACAAGAAAGATAGACGGAGAAGTCGAAGCAGGGACAGACATCGTAAAAGAAGCCACAGGAGTAGGTCTAGACACCGCAGCAGGTCACCACCGCACAAACACAGGTAAATTGTCACCTGTTAGTGTACTCAGCAGTACACAGCTTTGTATGTGTACTATTCTGGTAAAGTAATGATCTATCATATATCTAATAACAAATATTTGATTCCTCTGCTGTATTGTTTAGGTCTGGAAAGAGCCGTAGTCGCAGCAGAGACAGGGGGCATCATCCTGCTCCATCCTCCTCCAAACCTGAGGGAGAGAAGCATTTAACATTCAAAGAGAAGATGAGACAGCAGTTGTTGAAAGCCAGCAAATACTTACAGGCAGGGGAAGGAGGGCTGGAAGTGGATGGTAAGTACATCTACCAAATGATTCTTTCCTTAACAACTTTTTGTTTGCAAGAACTATTTTGTGCGTTTAAGTGAGAAATTTTGGTTCTCATGTTTGTACTCTTAAAGTTGATATTAAAAGAAAATTAGCCAACATTTGTGTAACTTTGTCTTGCTTATAAAAAATTAAATGAATAGCTCATAAAAATAAGGTATCAACTCATTCAAAATGGCCAATCTGTTATATAAACTTAAACTTCCTATTTCATACCTCCAAAATTATATGAAATTTACACTGAGAAATAATTTTTGTACATTACTCTTAGAGAGTAATTTATCTAAAAAATTATAGTTATATTTTTAAATTTTAGGAACTCCAAAGGAAAAGCCCAGCAATCTTCCATTAAGTGATGGACACAAGAGATTTTTTGAGGCTCTGGCTTCCTCCACACAGTCCAGTGTGACTCCACAGATGGCCCTCCTACACACAATGGCAGCAATGCACCAGAAGGTCAGTATCTGTAAAAACTAAATCAATATAAATAACAGGTATCTGATGTGAAACATATTTAAGGTGAATTCTACCATGTACTGAATGACCTTTTAATAACATTCATTTAAACAGAGATTATAATATTCCCTTTTGTCAAGTCTAAATTTTTATTTAAGGCTCTGAGATCAAAAGGTTCACTTTTTAAGGGAAAAATAAACTAAAAGTTTTTCTCATGACAATCGATGAGTGATTTGAAAATGAGTGATTCTTCTAGGGATGCAGGAACTAAAAAGACGATAAATGAACAAATCTGGTTTGTTCCCCTTTTGTGCTTCTTGTCTTTCTAAACACATTGTAATGAAAGAATTTTTAGGATTAAACATTTGTTTTGAGCATTGTGGCCTATGGGGCTCTTTAATAACATTGTTTTCATTGAAGGATTAATTGTAATTGAAACATTGAATCACAGATAAAGTGCAATCTCAGCTTCAAATTTTACAGGTTTATGAATGTATAAATAAGTCTTATTTAAAAGATACAGTCCACAGAGCAGTATTCATTGAATTCAATAATTTGTGGATAAGAAGTGTTCAAGAAATACATAATAGATTCCATGGCATACTAAAATAGTTGTTACTTTCCCTAATAATTTCTTGAAATAGTGCTTTTAACCAAATAATTACTTTCATTCACTGGTCATATGTGATATGTCTGTAAGTGTTTATAAGTAGTCTGATTCTGTTTGTAGGCTCAAGAAATGACAGGTGTTGCTGTTCCTAAGTATTATAACCCAGCAGCTGTGAATCCTCTGAAGTATGCTGAACAGGTCCAGAAAAGGAAATTATTGTGGTCCAAAGCTAAGGAGCATAAAGAGGTAAGGATATCTGATATACAGGAATTAAAAAAAACATCATTTTTACTCGGTGCATAGCTTCTCTAAAGAACAATATCATGTAAAGAAGAAAAGATGTGTTATTGCTATGTAGGAAAATGTGGCAGACCCACTGCTCAAGAAATCTATACAAGTGGCATTAAGATATTGATAACCATGGTTTTAATAGAGGATAAAGGAGATTATGATCAGTGGAAATATCAAAAATTTTAAGTATTAAAAGTTGTTTTTTTTTTATATTCTTAACCAGGACAAGGAAAAGGAGTGGCAACATACAGCCTTTAATCAGGATGAAAATGGAAAGATGGCGACAAAGTTTAAAAAGTTAATGGGCCTGAAAGAGGGGGCAGATGAGGGTATAGGTAGTGCAACAGTAGAGACAGAGGAACAGAAGAAAAAACGAGAGGAACTTTTCTCAAGACTAGATAAAGACTATGAGTTTGCTCGCATGACAACTCACACACAGAGGGGTGTAGGTTTGGGGTTCTCCTCGCAGGGAATCCAACCTCCCTAACCGTGCATAACATCCTGTATTTTTGTGAAGACATTCTCGTGACAATCTGGATCTTGATCATCCAAGAAATGATTGTCCTTAATCCCGACTTTTGATGTGTGAATCTATCTGTGAAGGTGAACAAGCTACTTGTGTTTTGTGAAAACCCACAGCAAAAGGATTTGAAATGTTCCAAAGTGATAATTCTATGTCATGAACCCAGAGTACTTCTAATGAAGGAATAGCAAATTTTTTATATAAACTTCAATTTAGTGGACTAGTTATTTGTATTTGTTTCATTTAGAACAATATACATGTAATTTTAATTTATTAAAAATTTTTACATGAAATGTTTTTGTTTTTACTTTAATTTATATTATTTTCAAGTATTATGTTTCAAAAAGAAAATGGCTGAACAAATTTCTGCACTTAGTATTTATAGCAAAGTTTTAATTAATAGAAGGACAAACACAATGTAGTTTTAACATCATTAATTATATTTTTCCAAGATTTTCCATACTGAAAGAAGTTTGTGGGACTTTTCAATGCCTATAAAAATGATACAAAATACCTCTTTGAAATTTGAGTTATATTTTTGTTTTCAATAGCGCTAAGATTTTCATCATTTGATATCTTTACACAAGTGACAACCGCTGTAAACCCCCACGTAGCTATGAACTTGCAATTCATGGTACAACGATTTGAAGTGCATGCAATATTAGTAATAAAGGGGAATAATCAGTCAGAAAGAGATGCACAAGACTGAAGTTACAGATCATAGGATCTAAGAGACAAGCTTCCTGCAATGTGGTACAGTTACTGGTATCTTAAAATTGTGTTTCGATAGTTCGTTTTACACTGTAAGACATTTCTCAATCACCAAACGTATACTACACATAAACTACCTTCAAATTAAGCTGTAGTATAAGGGTATACAACCTTATCCATAAATGGAACAAAAAGGCCTGAAATTTATCAGTATTAACTATTAACAGAGTACCAGTACACATCTCACAGTTCGAACATGCTAAATCATTGAGAAATCCACAAAATAATTTACCTTTGGTTTTGTTATATTTTTAGCCACACACAGTGACATACACAATATTTACATTCCACATATAATAAGTACGGTATGTGTGATCTACTGCATTTTGAAAACACCATATCATGGAGAGGTCTAAAGGTTAAAGCTTAAGGTAGTCCGATCCTCAGGTTTATAAAATTAGCAGTTAAGTAATCAAAAATACTCATAAAAGTATCTCTGAATCAACAAAGTTATGTAAATTTATCCGCAGTATTTCCTTAAAGTTAAAGATTAAAGTTAATCATATTATATAGGGAAAATTGTCAAATCTCCAATGTTTTTGCAGAAAAAGCGAATTGGAATATCAGCAATGCATTTTCTAATTGCAAATTGGTCAACAAATATATTTTAGATTAAAAAACAATAGGTATCCAGGCATTCAGAGAAATTGTTATGATTTTTATACGTATTTGGTATTTTCTATCTATTTCCGTTATGTATTCTATAATACATAGTGCAAAAGGCTTTTGCTATCATTGCAAGACACCACAATTCTTATTTCATATCATGCTAATAAGCATTGGTATCTAAGGCTGGATTCAAGAAAATCTTATTTCTCTAAAACTGTGTTAATTTTTTTGTCCTTTTATAGGGTACAAATGTCAACTTTTATGAGACCTTTTCTAAGACTTCCAAAAACCTTGAATCTTATAAAGATGAATAAAATGAAAATTATTGCATGAAAAATTTCATTTTCAAGCTTCAATTTTGATGCATTTCAAATTAAATATTAATTTTTGGAGTTATCCTTCCTGGCTGAGGATCGGATATCCTTAACACGACTGGTAAATGGGGGTACGCCATATTATATTCGATCATACTATCTAAGAAAACACTGGGTTATACCATCGCATTCATTTCACCAGACTTTATTGTCATGAGTATCGGCGTGGAATGGCGACACGTGTTTGTGCTGCTTGTCATGCACTGTGTTTGTTTTAATATTTTATTTTATCGCAGTTACGTAGAAGAAATATATTTTGTCGCTACCGGGTGCTGCTTAGCTAGCTGCAGATACTGCTTAGCATGCGTCCGCCTACACTGGTCACAGTTAAATACACTGAACAATGACTGAGTGTCCTCAGATATTATGATTAAGTGAATACTTTTACGAATCATGTTCAGTTTTAAAGCATGATTTTTATATTGACGTCACAAATGTTGAATAAAAGCAACGTCGTATAAGCAAAAATCCAAATAAATTTTGTTGGTAGTAGCTGTTGCAATGGCTCTTTCAATAACTAATTCATGTAAATTATCCACGATTTCACAACAAACTTTGGGGCCTACAATTTTCCTTGAATCTTCTGAATTTATACGAATTAGCCGCTATTAGCACCCCCACCCAGAACCAGAAAAGGTTTACCCACAAAAATTGACCCCCGCCAAATAAAACGATACCACTGTAAGCATTTTTTTTTTTACAGATATACTACTGATTCATAATTGGTAACCATGGAGTGTATATTATGACGTCATAATAGTGTTTAGATGAAACAGAAAAAACGTCGAAGATGAACAATGATATCGTAATAGATTCCCACGACAAATTCGTTTGGACCACTTTTCAGACGGAATTCGTTGTACAACATGAAGAACACGTAGTAGCCATCAGCGGGTCTCTGGTAGAAATTGGCCAATGGAACATTCGACAGGCTTTAATGTTAGGTAACTATAAATTTTATCAAGTAAATGTTTTTAATTGTTTTAATTTTTTAAAATTTCTTTCTGAATTGAATTCAAATAATTTTTTCCAAAATAAATAAAGAGAGTTGAAAAAAGAAATATTTTGATCAAGGTACTTTATTCTTTTTCGTGAATTTCAATAATTACTTGAGGACAGAAGTGACATTTTTATTAAGAAGTCAAATTTATATTCGAAGTAACCCTTTCGACCGAGCCTATGTATCGGGTATTAAATAAAACCCAATACATTTTTATAGAGGATGGGCTCACGTGCACAATTGCAACAGTCTCAGGGATTGACGGTGATACTTTCTGTGGTCCAGTGGCATAGCATCACATCGTTTTTGAAAGGGGGCAACCAGAGACATTTTTTTACTTGCTTGAAAACAGTTGACAAGCGAAAAAAGGACAATTACTCAAACTCGAAAATCCCATTTCGGTGGGGGGGGGGGGGGGGGTTCCGACAGGCAGCACCAAATTTTATTAATGCAATAATACATACTAGTATCCCTTATTTCACTTAACTGTAACAAAGATGGGGGGGGGGCTTTCAATGAACATTCCTTAGTAAATTGTAATGTTTAAAAAAAGGGTGGACAGCCCCCCCCCCCCCCCCTGTTTCTACGTGCCTGGTATCAGCGAACTTCGAATGACTTAAAACAACCGAAAATATTCCTAATACATTCCGGGGGGTATTTTTATTGTAAATGATGCATATATGATATCTCTAAATTACCCGGTATTAAGAAATAGATATGTTCTATGGTGACGTTCTTATATGAGTGAAAAAATCTCGAATGGGGCGTAAAAAAGCAAGCAAACACACATTCCATATGTGCTGTTCAAATTTCTTCCTTTTTATCTACATCTAAATGTATACTAGTATATTTCGCTTTTTCTAACCAATGTGCTCAGTTGAGCGATGTTGTCCATCGGCCTCTTTGTGTCTTTTTGTTGCATGACATAAAAAATTGGCAACGTATTGATTCAGGACCCCTGGTTTGCCAGGATGAAATGTACGCACTATACATATAGTACTAAAATACTTCTTTCTAATTTAAAGAAAATGGCAATTGGAATAAATTGAGAAAATCAGGATTTGTAAACTTCTAAATATTAGCAGCGTGTGCATTGTACAAGTATATGTGCTTATTACCTGTATACGTACTACCTACCACCACTGTTGCATTCGTTGCACGGAAAGCAATTTCTGTATTTTTTAAGAAAAACAAGAGGCTCATGGGCCACATCGCTCACCTGAGCACTGTGGCTAGGAAAAGTAGAAATTGGTTTATTATTGAAAAATTTAAATCCAAAAGTAGTCCCATGACCAATCATGGATTTGCTATTCTTGAGAAGATGATTTTTGAAGCCTTTTCCTCCTATATATTTCTATGTAAAACTTTAGTCGGCCATTTTGTCCCCGCCCTACCAAATAAACTGGGTAGCCAATAAACTTGAATCTACACTACCTCGGGATGCTTCCATATAAATATGATGAATTATGTCTTTGTCATTCTTGAGAAGAAGAATTTTAAAGAATTTTCTTATATATTAATATATTTTCTATGTAAAACTTTGGTCGGCCATTTTGGCCCCGCCCTACCCCCGGGGGTCATGATTTGAACACACTTTAATCTACACTACCTGGGGATGCTTCCGTATAAATATGATGAAATATGGCTTTGTCATTCTTGAGAAGAAGATTTTGTAAAAAATTTCCTATATATTACACTACCCCAGGATGCTTCCACATAAGTTTCAGCTTTCCTGGCACAGTGGTTCTTGAGAAGAAGATTTTTAAAACATGCCACCAAATTTTTATTAATTCCCAATTATCTCCCCTTGAATGAGGGCGTGGCCCTTCATTTGAACAAACTTAAATCCCCTTCACCCAAGGATGCTTTGTGGCAAGTTTGGTTAAAACTGGCCCAGCGGTTCTTGAGAAGAAGTCGAAAATGTGAAAAGTTTACAGACAGACACACGGACAGCTAGACAGACGGACGCCGGACAAAATGTGATCAGAAAAGCTCACTTGAGCCTTCGGCTCAGGTGAGCTAAAAAGCATTTGTTGTTAACAAGGTACATGTACGTATCGTCGCTGTAATATCAAAATGTCGTAAGTCGATTTTTGGCGGGAAATTTTTATTGCTATTTTGGAATCTGCAATGTCAAATACATATTCTGTCAAAACGTCAAGTCTCTAGGCCAACTAGAAAGTGAGTTACAGACGTGTGATAAAAGCGCGTATGTCCATTGGATGCATTTTTTTTTCTGACAAAAGGTCGTATGTCTTTGGGCATTGACAAAGATGTCACTGGCAGTCTGATATCAAAGGAAAAATTTTAGTACATGCAATCAATTTATGAGTATGTTAATTCATAAAATACATTTTAGAGCGTTCTAATATCAGATTCGTATGCTTACAATACATTGAAAGGGTTTGTTTCAATGCTTTTCTGGAGATACGACAATTTGTACTGACAAAACATCCAGGACAGAAAGGAAAACAGAAGACATACGACATTTTGAAAAAATATGTTTTTTGTCTCTCCTGAAAAGTTGGGATTTTTGACTTACGACAATTTGATATTACAGCGACGGTATGCAACCCCTGACCATGCATTTCCTTGTACTACATGGATGATGTGTGCTGCAGTTTCATTATACTGACTTTCGTTTATTAATTTAATATAGTGACGCCGTCAACGAATTAATAACTAGAAATTGACAATTATCATCAATTTTGCTGGGGGGGGGGGGTTCAGATTGGATTGTTAAAATTCTGCATTCTTTTTGAATACCCTTTTATTCAAGATTCCTGAATACAGAAGTTTTTACCTCATTTCAAAAAGTGCTGCACTAAAAAGTTAACTTTCAAAATTGTAAAGTGTCGAAGTGGGGACGGATCTTGCTGGACGTTTTGCATATATATAGCTACATGTACACTGCACGCTTACCAAGGTCCCTAGAACTGCCTTGTCCTTGAGTTTCACGCTGTTTAATCGCGGTATTGTTTTTGTCGTACCATTTAAAACATGTTTATCGAGCAAATCTGAGGCATGCATTAGTAATATAAATATGTCTGTCGAGGGTGAGGTTGGATTAATCTGTATAAGCTTTGAGACGCAGTATAAGACAGATGTACACAGCAAATGTTTGGCTGTTTGTGGTTCTTTGCCTGCGATTGGAAACTGGGATGTTAAAAATGCAGTCATTGCAGGTGGGATCGTTATTATATGTCTATGTATAGAGTCTTTAATTGTGATTTATACATACATAATTATATTAACTGGATTTGAAACCGTATTCACTGGGGGATAATTTCGTGAGCAGCGGGGAATGTGACGTCAATTAAACGTTATGAGAGTCAATTATAGATTATATTATCCAGACATTACACACTGATGTCATATAGAATTAATCTAGAAGGAAAAACACGGAAGTTTCACCATAGTGTCTGAACATTTTTTTTTTCTTGATTTCATTTTGAAAGTCTATCTCATTAGTCATATTTACATATTTTAGGACAATAAAAGCTTCAAGTTGATTCGATACGCAAGAATGTACTCTACAAACGACAAGTTTCTAAATCGAGATAAGCTATTGACAAATAACTTGATGAAACAAGAATAGGAACATTCTTATTCATCCATGGTACCTAGTCATCATTCCGGATCATGACAAGAAGATTAAGGCAAGTGTGACCGGTGGCAGGGGATGCTTACTCCTAAATGATACCTGAACCCACATCTGGTGTTTTTAGAGACCCGTCCCTGCTGTGCTCCCGACCTCCCGTATTGTTTTAATGGACTTGAATTTAATTGCTATTCGTAGTCTCCATATTTCATTATTGAAAAGAATGTGATTATGACGTCATTAATCGAATGCTAAAAATCATATGCCGATGCGTTGTAAGAGTATTTAAGTCCAGAGAGAGACCGCAGAATCGTGAAACTCACATTGACCAAATATTTGGAGAACAGCATACTAATCTGGTTGTACAATTTTTGTTCAAGAATTTACTAAAAACGAACAAACAAAAACAGATGTAATGTAGAGTTAAACTTGCATGACTTAAAGTACACGAAAATGTTATATATGTTCAATTATGTAGAGTTTTTAAGCCTGTTAACTGCAACTTGTTGTCAACTATACGAAAAGCAAATATTAAGGTCATGAGTAAATATTGCAAACAAAACACAAATCGAAATTTATTCAAAAGATAATTCTTATGTTGGCCCCTGGGATCTTTATTTTGACGTCACAATGCAAACGATGCAATCAACGTCACAATCTGCATAGTTTCACACTTTGTTTCCGTCGTCGTCACCAGAAGCCATGGTTGGGTTAGAAATAGTTTGTGATTACATGCTCCCGGATAATAGTTTGGCCCTAGCAATAAGTGGGTCTATCAAGGAATTCGGTAGCTGGAATATTAAAGAGGCCCAAATAGCAGGTAGATATATAATCAATTGCTGGAATCTTTTTGATAGTTATTAAAATTTTATATGTTGCCAAGGGGTTGAAGGACGTGGGGTAGTCTTTCTTCCATTGTCTTTCTCCATTTTACAGACTTTCTGCTTTTACCCTTTCATAAATTTAATACTCGTGTCGTTTACTAATTATTTTGAAATTCATTCAATTGTCATGTACTGGTACTCATTATTTGAATTTCTAATAATAATACTAATAAAAATTAGTAAACGACACTTCTGACACAAGATCTCATTTGACAGTAATGTCTGTCGACCGCAATGAAGACATGTTCAATCGTTGCAATATGCCATTGATTGAAATATATTGTGATTTAAATTTATTGCAAGTCGAGATATGTAACCGGGTTATCATTTTGTCTTTATTCTGTAATTGTGCCTTTTTATTTAAAGTTTGGGTTCAGGGTTATTGCTTTGTTCCTGGTAATATAGACTTGGCTCGAATAAATGAAAGAAGTGAACCCCTTGAGTTTCGTAGGCGTCGGGACCGGGGGGGGGGGGGCACTTTTTTGCAAAGATAGACATAATATAGGCATTGAACATTGTGGCGTAGGTTTAGCCCAACCTTTCAACAGGCACGATGCAGTTTAGATCAAAAAAGATAAGTGAATGTAGTTTGGAAAAAAAAATTGGCACTGAAAGAAGTTTGATCCCCCCCACCCCATCCCACTCCAGGGCTTTGGACACGTGTACTTTTTCTATTTTTTTTTTTTTTATTTTGCTTGTCTATTTTTTTTTTGCAGGTTTGGATTTTTTTCCTGTTACACTTAGCCACCCTTTCAATGCCAATGAGCTTAGATTGTAACCTTAGTATCTGAGTGAAATATATTTTTAAAAAAAGAAGAAGAATGTATTCTGGAGACAAAATTATATTTAACGATTCTTTTGAGCAATCCTATTTAGATATTTTAAGAGTTCATATTCATACATGTATATCATGTATTTCTTGACTCCACAGTTTGAGCTTCGAGTGGAGTTAATTTGTTCATGTGTGGAAAGGTGACTTACTTACGTATGTATATTTAATTTCTTTCTCATTATGTAGATGAAAAACCAGAAAACTCTGGAAAATGGATAGTATCACTCCATGTACCTGCTAATGTAAAATTCGAATGGAAGTGGGTAGTGGTATGGCGGAACACCCGCATCGCTTTCCGATGGGAGGAGCGTCAGAATAGAGTAACAGAAGTCGGGGAGCGCGGTTTCGTGTGTCACGCCTACTGGAATTGTGATCCGACATACGAATTCCTACCAGAATCACCGAGTATCAACACAGATAAAGGTAAAGGAGGGGCTAACATAATCTCAGCGAGGTCTCTTGCTGAGATAAGGACTAACACAGAGAGAAAATCGTGTTTAAAATATTTCATGTGTAATTTTTTTACTCTTATTTTTTTATTGGGGGGGGGGGGGGGTTAAAGGTCAAAGTATGTCAATTATTTGTTAGCTAAAGGTCAAACTTGAAAGGACAAAGTCCTAACAGATTTTTGACTGTTTTAGAATACTAGTAGTTAGATGATGCCCTTCACTTAGGGCCATTGAGCAGTGAGGGATTTTTTTCGCGTGGCAGCACTTATACTGCGACACAGGACCTCGGTTTATACGGTCTTATCCGAGGGACCAGTATCCACTTTCCGCAGTGAGAATCGAACCCGCTGAGTAACGATCAACTTCTTACTCCGCTATACTCTAGAGCATACGGTCTAACCACTGCGCCTTGCGACGACCACAATAAGTCAGTCAGACAAACAAAATCACTGTGTCCATTGCATGCCACAAACCATGTGCAGTGTACATGTATTCATTAATTTGGGTTTTTAAAATTCTGGTCCGTTGTCCCTGCTTTGAGAGCTGCCCTCCTTCTGTCATACTAACATCTCCTTCCCCCAACGAGGGCGCGCTTGATTTGTCTACACCATATTTAGCTGCAGAACTGTAGCTCTACGTAAAAATATATTTATAGACCGCAGAGCTACAGAGCGACCCATTGTAAAAATTGTATATTTATTGCGCACAAAAAGTTGCGCTTAGATCTGGATTAATTCTTCCAAATTCTTACCTCAATCTCAAAAATGATAGATTTTTAAAAAATACTTAACTCCTCTTTGAAGTACCCACGTAGTTGACATCCGCACATAGTGCGTTGGACCGAATTATCTTGCTAACCAAAATGGCAGTATAAACAGCAGATATTTATGATAATATCAAATTCAGACCCAGAGGGGCTATAAACAACAATTATAAGGAATGTTTTGATGTGGAACCAGTGAAAGAATATGTTAGGAAGACAGGATTAGTAATGTTTTGAGATGACAGTTTAAAAACATGGAAAAATAAATCGAGAAACAGCGCACTTTTTTGTGCGCAATAAATATACAGTTTTTATACCCCCCGCAAACGAAGTTTGGGGGGTATATAGGAATCACCTTGTCCGTCTGTCCGTCTGTCTGTCTGTCCGTCTGTCTGTGCAATCGTGTCCGGTCCATATCTTTCTTACAGAGGGACATTAGAATCTACTACTCCAGACAAAGATTGCCCATGACCCAAGGGTGTGTCATGACCTTGACCCAAGGTCATTTGTGGAACTTCAAGGTCACTGGAAGAAAAATTTCATAATTCGTGTCCGGTCCATATCTTTCTTGTGAATAAACTTGGTAGGTTCTCATTTCACACAAAGATTGCCCATGACCCAAGGGTGTGTCATGACCTTGACACAAGGTCATTTGGGGAACTTCAAGGTCACTGGAAGAAAAATTTCATAATTCGTGTCCGGTCCATATCTTTTTTTACGAATAAACTTGGTAGGTTCTCATTTCACACAAAGATTGCCCATGACCCAAGGGTGTGTCCTGACCTTGACCCAAGGTCATTTGGGGAACTTCAAGGTCACTGGAAGAAAAATTTCATAATTCGTGTCCGGTCCATATCTTTATTGTGGATAAACTTGGTAGGTTCTCATTTCACACAAAGATTGCCCATGACCCAAGCGTGTGTCATGACCTTGACCCAAGGTCATTTGGGGAAGTTCAAGGTCATTGGAAGAAAAATTTCATAATTCATGTTGGTCCATCTCTTTCTTATTGATAGGTTGTCGTTTCACAAAACGATTGCCCATAACCTAAGGTAGTGTCGTGACCTTGACCCAAGGTCATTTGGGGAAGTTCAAGGTCACTGGAAGAAAAATTTCATAATTCGTTTCCGGTCCATCTCTTTCTTATTGATAAACTTGGTAGGTTCTCATTTCACACAAAGATTACCCATGACCGAAGGGTGTGTCTTGACCTTGACCCAAGGTCATTTGGGGAAGTTCAAGGTCACTGGAAGAAAAATTTCATAATTCATGTCTGGTCCATATCTTTCTTGTGGATAAACTTGGTAGGTTCTCATTTCACACAAAGATTGCCCATGACCCAAGGGTATGTCATGACCTTGACTCAAGGTCATTTGGGGAAGTTCAAGGTCATTGGAAGAAAAATTTCATAATTCGTGTTTGATACATATCTTTATTATGGAAAAACTTACTTCTGAAAAACCCAGCGGGGGGTATTTTGTCACGTTTGGACAGTTCTAGTTTCAATTGGTGGCACTGCAGCTCTCCGGTCTGTCAAAAAAAATTTTCGGAGAGCTACAGTTCTGCAGCTACACCATATTACATCCGGTGTAGACAATTTACACCTTTTTAGAAACGTTTTTCTGGTTTACAGAAATCCTCGTAAATTTGTGGGACGAAAATGTCATGCTTCATTAAATTTTTCAGTTTGTAATCGTTAATGAATTAATTTTGTGGATTACTTATATGAGGCCCCTGGGTCACAAGCTCACCTGAAATTCTATGCAATTGATACGTTAATGTGTGTAATCTTTGGAATGCCATTGGACTTCTTCATTGAGTTATTAAAGTACGGAAAAGACACTCTCACTGAAGAAGGATGGACGGACTGGATAAACAACGTACATCCGTCGGAAGCCTTCCCCGTCGATGTGGAAGTTCCCAGGAGTATACCAGGGTTCCCTGCCACCAGAAATCAAACGTCTCGTATATCTGACCATTAGCAGCAAATGCTTTATAACGATGTTTTAGTTGTTCTTATATAGATGATACAATTTATTTGTAGGTGATAACTGGACAGCTGAAGATGATAAACTGCTAGAAAAGCTTCCTGATGATGAGACACTCGATGATAAACAGAGTCGTAAAAACGTTTTTGTAATTGCTAATTACATCCGTGATCTGGGCTGCCTGGTATCATGGTCACTGCAGAGTCTCAAAACCAAAGTGATGTCATTCTTTTATGGAGTGGGAGGACTTTTCCGGCGGAGCAATTAAACTTGATTATTGCACACAATGGACGTATAGCTGTGATTATATCTAAACTGTGTTCACTTGTGCATGCATGAATTATATTCATGTATATTTTTATTGCTTTATGCAAAAGAGAGGAACTGCTACAATTTTATTATCATTACCCATTAGTCGAGTATTTTAAATATTAAGGTTATACCCAGTATTCAAATCTTGTCTTATGAAACATAATTTATGTTCAAAAAAGTAAATAATGATTAATTTTTAACGTATTTATGCACTGAAGGTAGATTTTTGTATAGAGTGAAATAAAGGACTGATGATCATCATTTCCCCTTCTTGATACATTATTCCTTATTGTGATAAAGTATTAATATCATTTGACTACTTTATCATCAACTCGACGAATTTTGCCAGCCTACAAGTAATCGATGTACATGTACACGGGTAAAAAAATTGGAACAATATCTCTTCAACAGATGCTCAATCTTATATATACTTGTAACTCTTTTTGACAATAGCAGTCAGAACTCGATTTCATTTTGTCAGTGAGAGAGTTGTAGAAATAACGAGATGTGTTTTTGAAACACTATGCAGCCGGCGGCAACACCGTTCAAAAAAGCTATTTGTAGCATATACTTTTGGTCACAGTCAGAGGCCAACTTTTTTCAATGCCAAATTCTTTCCGTACAAATTTTTTGGGCATACAGTACTAAATTTCCACGATATTACATTACTGTAGTAGGAGGGGGGCGTAACCAGCCTTTCAATTAACATTTTTATAGTAAAAGTAGTGTTGGGAAAAAGTGGGGGGGGGGGTCAAAAATGGATAATATATTTTTAAAAATAGACGGAAGAAGTGTTTTTGTTTAGTTGTTAAATAGCATTTAGTTGTTAAGTAGCAACTATTCAATTTAAACCTGTGCAACGGATCATTGATTTCCGATCATAAGATAGATATGCACTTTGCTAAATTTAGATTTATAAATCGAAAATACTGCCCAGGTTACATTATCAATTTTAACTGGTAAGTAGTCTTACACTATTATATCAATTGAGGAGATGTGTGATAAAAAAGACCACGAAGTGTCTGTAGGCACTGTACTCAGACTGAAGACACTCTACACTGTATTCTTCTGCTTGATTTATTCATGTATGTAAAAACACAATGGTAATCAAATTAATGTTTGTAAATTATCTGTACAACCCCTTATAAGTATTTGAATATGCTTATTCTATAATTTTCATTCAGATTAAATTTTTGACTTCATGTAGAGTATTTTTCCCATAACCCCATAAACTCTATGATTTCAAGGTTGTGACGAAATGTCCTTTTTCATGTTTAGAAAATTTTGAAACGACTCTATAACATTTTACTACATCAAAGGAGTTAAAAAGACGAATCACACCTAGGTTCAAAACAGCATACAGATATACCTGAAACTCATCCCGGTCGTTGGAGAGGAAGGGTTGTGAACATGTATGTAGCATTTGCCAAAGCGTCAGAGACAGCATTATGGTAGAGAGCTCCGTATGAGAATTGTGCTTATTAGGGATCCCTAAAAAGTGAAAATGGCCTCCCCTTCTTGTTTTTTGTCAATGTATTAATTTTTATACTAGAGTATATGTAATAGTGATTAGTTTTATGTTGTTTTAATTATTATGATGTTCAAATGTATAATCTATTAACTATATATATGAATATCTCACAACTGATTTTAAACTCTGAAATACATGTATTAATCTGTGTGTCAATTAATATTGACCAAAACTAATAATTTTTTTCAATTAAATAATTTATCACATGAAATACTTTTAAAAATTAAATAAAACGTTAGATTCACTCCTTGTTCTGTTTCTACACCTGTAATAAGCTACTGGAGTAGAATTCAACTTCCTTAAATCCTATTGGTCAAGACCTTTACCTTCCAATTCTGGACAACAGACATTATTCGGCTGATTGATTTCAGACTGGAAAGACACACATAAAATATATTAAATTCATACATATTTTATAACTTTCAATGTGACCTGGCTACCAGCTACTAATCACATACAATGATACAGTGCCAGTAATTGTAGTACAAAGGTATCAGGCACTCTGTTCCATAAACAGACACTACAAATAATAAATCTTCCAATAGCGAATCCTCAAGTGTCATGGTTTTATTTAATATCCAGACTTGACCCCTGTTACATATATCAGCTCATTCCCTTTCTCGAACACCTGTATTTGTATGTCATCCTAGTCCTGGTCCAATCGTTTTCTTCAGTATGAAAACGGTGAAGATAGTGTTTGATCTAAAATTAACAATGTCGAGTATAAGGCCACAAGAATTGTTTTATTTTATTCTCAAGTAAATTTGTTTGAGTAAATTGTTTCAAAGGATTACAGAAACATGTCGGCTAATTAAAGAGAATAATTAGTGCCGATCGGAATTCCAAGAGTTCTTGCAAAAGAGCAAAATTCGATTTATGCTTTATACGAGTATTCTGTGACTAAATTTTATCCATGACCATATTTTATTTAATCATAAGGTTGGATAGTCATTCCTATATATTAGATTAATTCAGCATGATCTGAAGAATAAGTTTATACCTTCTAAGAAGCAAGGTTTTATCCTTAAATAGTTTCGAATTCACTGCTACCTTCGTTTACATTCTTCTCTGAACGGTCTGATTTTTTCATAAGCAGATACACTTGTAAAACAGAAAAGGGAGATATTTCTATCCAACATTGCCCCACGGTCATATAAAACCATTCAGATATTGCTTCATCTGTTAAGGCTAGCAAATATGGTACAGCAATCATAACGATCAAAAGGAACTACTCAGACGACGGACAATACTAGTAAATCACAGGGTGTTACGGCATATCCGCGCCTTTTTTTGATGAATAAGGATCTTTACCAACATTTAACCGATTTTCTCCTTCTAGTGAGCACAATACTACCCCAATTAAACTTCTCTGCACCTTCTAATGAGTGTAATGCTACTCCAAACCTCCCTCCTCCTCCTAGTGAGTGCAATACAGCTCCAAGCTTCCCTCCTCCCTCTAGTAAGTACAATGCTACTCCATGATTCCCCCTCCTTCTCGTGAGTGCAATGCTACTCCTGGCTTCCCTCTTTCTTTTAGTGACTGCAATACAACTTGAAACTTCCTTCTTTCTTCTAGTGGATGCAATACAACTCCAAGTTTCAAAAATAAATTACGTTGGGCCATCTTTAAAAAGTTGTTTGGTTGCAACTGAAATTTTACCGAGAAAAATATTTTTTTACCTATCTACCGACGTAATGATAAATCTGTTCATCCTGAGTTGGGAGATAGCAACCAAACTTTATTTTAAAGGTGACCTTGTATTGGTTTTTCCAACATTTACTATCTAAATGAAATAATATATCAAAGTTCTATCTATTTCAGGATACGATGAAACGAACAGATTTCCAGCACGGGTGTCTTCTGATCTTCCTGACAGTCTTTTTACTAAGCTATTTTTATCTGAGTGGGAAATTGCATAAAGTTGAGTATACAGATAATATTATACAAAATTCTTTCCATAGTGACACATTTGAGTCTTTATTGGATTATAAGGGTTTCAAAGCGATATTCTTCTTCATCTTCTTGCTGATACTTTGCATTACATTGAGCATAATTTTTCGCCCATCGAATAAAGCGGTGCCTAGACTACGAATACAGTGCTATAGGCCGTACTTCATCGTCCAAACTTATGTCTGCATTATTCCGTTTTATATTCAATATATAAACTTGGTATATGGAGTTACTGATGATGTTTTCTTCTCCATTCGATGGGATCTTTTTTATCAAATGTACATCTCTATTGTTAAATTCTTATGTAGTATTGTAATGGTAAATGCAGATTTCTATATACAACGATACCAAAAATGGAGATTATCAATTTATACCACTGTTAGTATTGTTCATGCAATTTTATTTTCCTATGTTGTGTATCTTCTTCTTGAAAATCTTTTGGAAGGTGTAAAAAAGTTAAAAGAAAATGAATCCAACTTTGTGTCAATTTATTCCCGTTATGACGGGCTTGGAAGAGTTATTGAAGATGCATTCAAAGGGATGAATAAAATTGTAAAACAAAAGCTTCTGGATGAAAGACTGTTTTTAAAAAATGGAACAGTGTTATATAAAACCCAAGGCGTGACTAGGGTACAGGAAAGAGATGTTAGAAATCACATGTATCCGTTCATTCGAATTGCTTATGTACTTTCTTTGGAAGAGGATTTTTATTTGAATTGCGGTGTCTCGGGGGATTCTACGACCAATTTGATTTGGACAAGAAATGGAACAGTGGTGAACCACAAGAATCCATTCATAAACATTAAAACTAAAAGAGGTTGGGACGTGCGACTAGCAAGGCATTTTGTGTCCAGCAAACTAACTGTATCCATGATAAATAAAGAAGACTTTGGCGAGTACAATTGCTGGGATTTAAGTGAACAGTTTGTAGGAGAAAAGGTATATTTCAAAGGAAAAACTGCAAATTCCAAAATGAAGAGTGTTCAATATTTAATTGCTCAGTATTATGTTCAAGAATACGTAAAGCAGGATATAATTCATTTTGTACCACTTGGGAGTATTTTGTTTTTGTCTTGGAGACCAATGTTGTTTAACACTGACTCTGAAAATATTTGGCAACATTATCTAATAAACGATAATCGTGTGTCTACATTTGCGAACAGGATAATACCAGTATGTTCCACATTTTCTTTGGCCTTTGCTATTTTTGGACATTTTATGGACTGGTTCCACATACCAAGTTTTCCGTCATCCCCAGATTATCTCGAAGAGTTCTCTGGAATTTTCAGAACTCATCTCTCCATTTGTGCGGGAGCTTCGATCTATGGTGTGCACAGAGTAGAATATTTCCGAAATATATACAACCCTAACAGCAAGTCTTACAAAATATATTCCATACAACATCCAGATACACATATACTTGTACCTGATTTACCATACTTTTTAAAAATGGATAATGCCAGTAGAACAAACA